GAGCAGACCTGAGGCTGCTGTGGTTGGAGCAGGAGCAGCTGGAAATGGAATGATGAGGGTTGAGGTTGGACGCTCGTGGTAGAGACTGCTTTTTTACTCTGAGCTGCAAAGCTGGCAGGGGACTTTGAATAGAAAGGTCACATGGTCTAATTATATGTTAGAAGGCTTATCTGATTGCTGGGTGGAGGTCAGGCCCGAGCGAGTGGGATGGGAGCAGGGAGACAACAGGTTATTGTACAAATCTAGAGAAGATGGTCGAGGTTATACTTGTGTTGTAGCAGTTGAGGTCGTGAGAAATCATCAGTTTCTGTGTAGGTGGATACATGTCTCGTATATATATGAAACATATTAGACACACATATATATGACATATATGGCTTTTCCGGTAGTCATGTATGGATGTGAGAGTTGGACCATAAAGAAGGCTGAGCGCTGAAGAATTGAAACATTCTAATTTTGGTGCTGGAGAAGACTCTTGAGTCCCTTGGACAGCAAAGAAATCAAACCAGTCAGTCCTAAAGGAAATCAGCCCTGAATATTCGTTGGAAGGACTGATGCTGAAGCTGAAGTTCCAGTGCTTTGACCACGTGACGTGAAGAGCCGATTCACTGGAAAAGACCCTGATTCTGGGAAAGATTGAAGGCAAGAGGAGAAGAGGGCAATAGAGGATGAGATGGTTGGATGGCATTGCTGACTCAATGGATGTGAGTTTGAGCAAACTCTGGGAGATAGTGAAGGACAGGGAAGGCTGGCATGCTGCAGTTCATGGGGTCGCAAAGAGTTGGACACGACTTACTGACTGAACAACAGGAATGAATGCATGTATGTCAAAGTTAAAACTTTTGCAGAGAAGGCTAAGATTTTGTCTGAGTTATCAGTAGATAGTGGGGAAATCAGATTAAAAAAACACAATTTCCGTACATAGCAGTAGAGATGTAGAGGACAGTGAGGGTTACAGAGCTTTTCCTGGAAAAATTTCAGGATAGGAAATGGCAAAACAAAAACAACAACTAGGGAGGTAGGTGAGGCTGGACCATGGAGGGTCTGACGGACCACATTAAAAACTTGAGCTTTATCCCAAAGTTGATGGGATTTAATGATTTAATGATGGGAATGCTTTAATCCCAAAGTATTACCTAAGGAGGCAACATGTTCTGATTTAGGATTTAAATTCTCCAGGTAACTCTGATGTGAGAAACAGGGCTCTTGAGAAGTTTAGACTGAAGTCAAGGAAACCAGTTAAGATTTGCAGGTGTCCCGGGTAGAGGCAATAAGCTAATGTTTATTATGCACTTGCTACACATCATGCACCATTCTAAGCACTTTGTTATTAACTTAATCCTAAGAACAACCCTATTAGGTAGGCACCAATAGCATCTGCCTCTTACAGATGCATAACTTCTAGCACAGAGAGGCTAAGGAAACTTGCCCAAGTTCATGGGGCCATGCAGCTCTAAGGAGGGGGGATTTGAACGCAGGCACCCTGGCTGGAGAATTCAGGCTGTTGCACATTGTGCTACACTGCATCTCCTGAAGATAAGAGCCCAGACATTTAGAGAAAATTACAGGGCAGATCTCTTCTTTTGTCCCGAACTGAGTTGTTAATTAGCTGTAACCTTGCATTCCTATTACAGCAGTATCTAAGAAACCCAGCCCCCTAGCCTCTCCTCTTCTCCTTACTTAGAGCTTGAATTCTCTTTTGGCACCCATGTGTCTATCTTTGTAATCTCATGCCTCTTTTCTGTACCCATGCAACCTACAGGGTGTGTCTTTGAGTAAAACATATTATGACGTTATCATCTTGTCAGGTAACCCAAGTCTGTGCTTCTGTTTTATCTCAGAATTTCTTGCTAGGGGAGTACATCAGCCTTGGGTTCATTTGGTATGCTTTTTCCCCAAAGCTTTTGTTTGAGAATAGCTCCAATTAAGTCACCTCCATTAGAACATCACTACTATATGAGATTAAGGTGAAACACGCTAGCATGTGGGGAGAAAAGTACATGTTTTGAATGATCACTCAGAATACAAACACAAACCATAAATAGTCATTATCTAACTGTGACTTTGCTGTCAAAGTGTGCAGAATTTGAATAGTACAGGAAATTATAGAGAAGCCAGTGTCTGGGGAATGCCTGAATTAGTTTGCCAGAGAGAGATCAACTCCACTGCCTGGACTCTAGTAGATCATCCCCTGGGACAGTCTTATTTCCTTCTCTGTTTAGATTCACGGGAGTATTGAATATTAGCATTCTTCTCCCATGTGGTTAATGTTATTATTACCACTTTATAAAGAACAATACTTAAGCCAGATGTTATCCAAGACAGCAGACAGAAACTTCTAGCCCTGATAGAGATTCAAGCCTGAAGTGTGATGCAGGGAAACAAGAATAGAAGAAAAAAAATAGACTGATCACACAAAGGTGTCGTGTACCCCAGTGTAGGCAAGAAGGGTTCAGTGAGTATTACCTGTGTCTTACGTGGTAAAGAGAGAAAGCTCCAAGACCAAAGACAGTGGGCTGGGGAGGTGGGAAGGGAAAAGTTCAAGGTGTAACACAATGTGCCTCAGAAACTAGGTGAGTGAGTCTTACTTGGGAAAGCTGAGAGGGATCCGAAATGAGTTGGCGGGCACTGAGTTCAGAAGCCGCATATATATATATATATCGCATATATATATATATATATATATATATATATATTTTTGGAAACTAGATTATCTTAAAACATGAAGTTATCAGCACATACTTGAGGAAGTCTAAAGTAACAACCAGCCCTTCCTTCTCAGCTCACGTTCCAGGTAAGGAGCGTTTTTTTTTTATTTTGGAACTCCAGGTGCAGTCAGGAGAAGGGAGAAAACAGTGACACCCATCTTTTTAATGAGCATTGCTACTAGAAGAGAAATTAGCATCACCCTGAATTTTATGTCAGTTAAATGAAGTTATTTTGTAGCACTTTACAACAAATTAGAATCAACTAAATTGAAAATAAGCCTAGCAGCTGGGCTAAGTAATCAGGTAAGTGGCCAGTTTTGCTATTTTTGCTTCGAGCAGAAGACAGAATTTGAATTTCTAATGTCCTTCGCGGTGCAGGGTTCACAACTGGGGATGTGGTTTCTGGGATGATTGTTTAAGATGCCAGCAGCTCAGTGTTGCCCTCCAGGCTCCAGCCTGCTTCTAGCCACGTTCCTTGGAAACTGGCCCTAGCGCAGATGTGTGTGCACCAGACAGCGGGTTGTGAATTAGTGTAGGATGCAGCTCTGCTTTTGGCGGAACGTTAGAGAGCAGACTGGAAATAGATGACCCAGAACAAGGCAGTAAATCATCCACATTAATGGAGAGACTCTAATGAAAGGACTGAAATTCATGTGAAGACTTTATGGCCACTCATGAAATCAGCTCAGATCCAAAGAGCTATTAGAACATTTTTATGCTTTAAGAAGAGGGTGACTCTGTTCAGTTGCTGCAATCTGCATATAGTCAGAACGCCCTGACATCATCAATACTGGCTTTAGTGGGCAGAATGGTACAGCAGAGCTTTGCACTCCATGAGCCAGTATTTCTTGTTGATTAGCAGATGATTTTTGTTATCTAAGTTTGGGAAACTGTGGAGGAAGCCCAAAGAAGATGGAGGTTGGTGGCTCAGGATCTCTATGTGATGTGTGTGTACATTTGCTTGTGTGGGCAGTAACAGGGGAGAGAAAAAGATGAATGTGGGCAAGGGGTGTTAGTGTTAGCCCAAATGAAACTTTGTCAGTTACTCAGATTGGGAGTATTAAGAGGTCAAGATGAAGATAAAACGGTATTTGTAATTATGGTTTATGAAGAGAAACAGGCCGTAGTGGCTATCTAATTTTCATGTTTTTTCCCTCTGCAACAGATGGATTAAATGAAATTATTCTGTCAAAAATCCATGTATCTAGGTTGTTTTCAGCCTACCTTAGAGAAAAATAAAATTTGCACAAATTATTTTCTACCTAGAAACTTTATACTTGAAACATTTTTTCTCAAAATATTTCTATGTTTACTATTTTTCTCTTAAATTTTTTCTTCAAATATTCAGATAACTTTTTAGATGGCTGATTATTGAGGCAGCAGGGGATTTCCTCTTGGAAAATAATGATGATGAACAGGACTTTCTCTCTTAATTTCTTCAATACCAACTTCTCTTTCTTTGACCAACAGCACGTACTTGATACTTGGTGATTTCTACTTTGGGTTTGGAGGTAGAAGGAGCAAGGTGTTAAATTTCTATCAGCATCACCTCATGAGAATCCTGTTCATAAACAGGAGGCTATGCAGGGAAGGCTGAATCCTCTATGACAGCATCATGGCACCAGAGAGCAGGACAGATCTCTGATGAATCTGGCTATTACTAAGAATGTATCTGTACTACTAAGCTCCAAATGGACAACCTCTAGTGCTTGACCCTGTTCAGCCAGCTCAGGTGTTGCTCAGGGTGGTATTCACTGCTTTGACAGATCACCATGCTCTGAAAGCACCAAGACTCATGCCTGAGTTGTGGAGGTTATCCACTGTATGTTATTGCTTTGAAAAAACTGGGTGCAGAGAACTGAGTGAATTTATGGGGACAGGAGTTCAAAATGCTGACTTATTATTTCCAGAGAAACCAGTTTCCTCTTTGTTTTGAACTGCCCTGTCCTGGCTAATACATCTCTTATTAATGAGTGTTGAGAAGAACCAGGTAGTGAAAACACTGGGGGCTACGATCATTTTCTACTTTCCACTAGTAAGCCATTTCTCTTTTATTGTAGAAAATGTGGGACCAGTGTATACTGATTCATTGATGCACTGAAGATATAGGTTGTGGTAGAAAATGTCTTTATGAGAGTAATTTGGTCATTTATATGGACTTTGTAATGTCTGTGCAAGAAATTATTTTGCAGGTTATTGCATCATTAGTCAAATTTTCTAAAGCACTGATGTGGAAATCCAGTGTTATTGGAAATAATTTGGACACTTTTTCTCTGTGTTTGTATTTTACAGTGGCTGCTAATTTACAGAAGATTGTAGATGATCCCAAAGCTTTAAAAACATTGACATTTAAGTTGGTAAGTGGAAAGTTACGGAATGAAGGTAAAGATTTCGCCATGCAGTGCCAACAAGTAATAGTAATATCATTTAATACCCTGTTCCATAATTCTGTTGTTGGTTTTGGGGGGTAGGCAAGTGGGAATCCATTTTTGCATTCGTTATCTGGCTGGTCAACATGAGAATTTTTTTAAATTAGGATATAATTGATTTAGAAGGATGTCTCAGTTTCAGATGTACAGCAAAGTGAATTGGGAAACAGCAAAGTGAATCAATTATACATATATCTTCTTCTTTTTTTCAGATTCTTTTCCCATATATGTCTGTACAGAGTATTGAGTAGAGTTCCCTGTGCTAGTTATGTATTTTATGTAGTATGTATATGGCAGTTTCAGTCTCCCAATTTATCCCTCACCTTCCCTTTCCCCACTGATAACCATAAGCTTTTTTTCTACATCTATGACTGTATGTGTTTTGTAAATAAGTTCATTTGTTCCATTTTTTTAGATTCCACATATACGTGGTATCATATATTTGTCTTTCTCTGACTTACAGTAACTCATTATGACAATCTCTACATCCATCCACATTGCTGCAAATGGCATTATTCTGTTCTTTTTTATGACTTGGGAATACTTTCTAATCATGATTGGAAATTTCATGTGGTTTGTTCTTTTACCATACATCTTTAAGAGTAGCTATTTGAGAAGTCTTGAAGTCTGTACCCTTTTGCTTCCAGTTTGTACAGCAACTTGACCAGAAAGACAAATTAATCTGAGTTCGAAGCAACACTCTTAACAAACCTTTTCTAAGCAAAAGCCAAGTGGTCCTAACTTTTAAAAACTGAGGCCGATTATTGTAGAAATGGTTTAAGTAATTGGAAGCGATTGTAGAACTGCCCTCTGAAAGCTAGTCAAAAAGGCATGACATTTTAACTCCACATTTCAAATCACAGTAACAGATTCTCATAGAGAGGAAATATTCCTCTATTCCTCTAATAGTTTTTTTGCACTGGTAGATTTTAAGTTTATAAACTAGGGTGGCCACAGAGATACAGATATGGAGCATTCTGGGGTCCTTGTGAACTAAGAGCCGGTGATCCTGGCTAGAAATGGAGAGAAGTCCAACTAGTCAAAAGTGATGCTTTTCTGGAAAGTTTTTGCAGATGTTATAGTAAATGACTAATTTTTAAAATTATAAATTAATCTTATCAAGGGTCAGCCAGAGTGCTAAGCAATTTAAGATCTAGATGACCAACACTTTGCTGTGCACAACATATTAATGGTCTTTTTTATTTCTTGTGAAAATTTAATGGAAAATGTACATGGCCAAAAAATGCTAAATGATTCGTTACAGTAAATGTTAGCCTAGTGCTAATTAACTTTCTGGACCTTGCACCTCATCTAATTTCAGATGGCCAGGCTGGGTGATAAAAGAAAAACACAAAGATTTTTACAGAAAGAATTCAGCTGAAGAAATTAATTTTGTTTTGATAATAAAAGAACATTTTAGTCAGACAAAGAGTGAGAAATTAACAAATTGGAAAATTTATCTTCTATCTTAGGACTCTTCTTTTCACTTCTATTATGTTTCTAATTCACCTGCATCTTGTAAACATATTTCATTTATATGAGGATATATGGACGAGAAAAATGGCACCCTGTGTCTGCATTTCAAGTCAGAATTAATGTTTCTTTATTCATTTTTTTATTCTGCAAAAAAATAAGTTACAACATATAATACCTCTAGAACATTTTGAACATGTAAACCTAGGGACAAGAGGTTAAAACTTTTATGCTGGCTTATTCCCATCGTCTCTAAATTCACTTACCTATGAAATAGGAGTGGCTACCCCAGCCCTTTCATAGTACTGAAGGTTTTGTAAAAACACCCTCTCTACTGTCCCTAGATAACCATAAGAATAATGTGGAACTCTCCCTCATCTTCTCTCATCAGTTTGTTAGTTCCCTGGATTCCCTGTCTTGAGTCTGTCTTCCTCCTCATCCCCATTCTCAGCCCCCTAGTGGGATCCCCTTTGGGAACTGCACTTCCTGCCTACAACTTGCCAACCTCCGGCTCTGTTTACCACACTGAGGCTCTAACCTGAGTAATTCTTCCTTAATCCCAATTCAGTTCAGTCGCTCAGTTGTGTCCAACTCTCTGTGACCCCGTGAACCGCAGCACACCAGGTTTCCCTGTCCATCACCAACTCCCAGAGTCCACTCAAACCCCTGTTCATTGAGTTGGTGATGCCATCCAACCATCTCATCCTCTGTGGTCCTCTTCTCCTCCTGCCCTCAATCTTTCCCAGCATCAGGGTCTTTTCGATTGAGTCAGCTCTTCACATCAGGTGGCCAAAATAATGGAGTTTCCGCTTCAACATCAGTCCTTCCAATGAACACCCAGGACTGATCTCCTTTAGGATGGACTGGTTAGATCTCCTTGCAGTCCAAGGGACTCTCAAGAGTCTTCTCCTACACCACAGTTCAAAAGCATCAATTCTTCATTGCTCAGCTTTCTTTGTAGTCCAACTCTCACATCCATACATGACCACTGGAAAAACCATAGCCTTGCCTAAATGGACCTTTGTTGACAAAGTAATGTCAATGCTTTTTAATATGCTGTCTATGTTGGTCAGAACTTTCCTTCCAAGGAGTAAGCGTCTTTTAATTTCATGGCTGCAATCACCATCTGCAGTGATTTTGGAGCCCCCCAAAATAAAGTCAGCCACTATTTGCCATGAATCCTTAATTCCAAAATGCCCCCAGATACTTGACTGGCTCTCCACTGTCCTCTTCTGAAACTCAAACAACATGGCTAAGAGTACACCCCAATCAAACCTCCTTTAGATCCTGCTCTGCCTTTCTTTACCCCACCCCCTATTCATTCATTCTTTTCTCTAGTCCTATTCTGTTTTCCTTCACTGACCCTTTGAATGTACTTTTCCCTCTTACTAAAATATCATTGTCTCCCAACTTCACCCAGCCTGGTCTCTGACTCACCAGCACCTTGACACATTCCAGTTTTCTGCTTTAATTTCACTTATCCAGCAAGCTGTTTCTGACATCCAATCCTGGTCTTGGTTCCCCTCCAGTATTCTCTCTCTGGAAGGTTATATCATATTGAAGTTTTTAGGTTGGTGTATTTCTCTCCCTCAGTTCTAGTCTTGTTACAGCTCAAGCAGGCTGGATTTCTCAGCTCTTGTCTCATCATGGCAAGGGTTTGAAACAACAGATGGGTTACAGCTCAAGCTGTTTTGTTAAATAGGCCGAAGATGGCCGGCCCTGAAGGAGTGGCAGTGATCCCTCTTGACCTCCCTTTTTATACTCCCTGTCCCCTCCTCTTGGTTCATGCCCTGTGCAGAATGCAAATAGGTACACTCAAGGACAATCAGGGGATGGGACATGTCTGGGCACATGCAAAATAGGAATTTTACATATTCATCTGGATGGGTATGGATTGAGAGTTTTGATTGACAGTTGCAAGTTGCGCAACAGGCTCTATTACTTATGTCTTTCCCATAATTCAGTCTGTTATCAAATGTATGTATGTATAGAATATTTATGAATCCTTAATAGACTGCTAGCTGCCTAGGGTTACTTGAGGACACAGCTGTGCATGTGTGCATGTGCTGAGTTGGAGAAGCCCCTGTGGTTAGTCTGTATCCACTGTGTGCCTAGGGCACACTTGCAGGAGTTGGAAAAGTCTCGGGTTCTTTTTGTAGCATATCTGTGAGCTCTCCCTGGCATTTCTGGGGTAGGGTTTAGAGATCAGCTTGCATCCTTTTTGGCTAGGTCACCCTTCAATCCCTCATCTCTTAACTTCTTACCTAACAAAATTGTGTAGGATTTTATTTGTGTCTCTAATGTACATCTAGAGGCTCCAAGCAGTCAGAGACTTCTGTCTTGGATCTCCTGGACATGGAACAACAGACTGGTTCCAAACAGGAAAAGGAGTATGTCAAGGCTGTATATTGTCACCCTGCTTATTTAACTTACATGCAGAGTACATCATGAGAAATGCTGGGCTGGATGAAGCACAAGCTGGAACCAAGATTGCTGGGAGAAATATCAATAACCTCAGATATGCAATGACACCACCCTTATGGCACAAAGTGAAGAGGAACTAAAGAGGCTCTTGATGAAAGTGAAAGAGGAAGAGTGAACAATTTGGCTTAAAGCTCAACATTCAGAAAACTAAGATCATGCCATCCAGTCCCATCATTTCATGGCAAATAGATGGGGAAACAGTAGTTGATCTATTTTGGGGTGCTCCAAAATCACTGCAGATGGTGATTTCAGTCATGAAATTAAAAGACACTCCTTGGAAGGAAAGTTCTGACCAACCTAGACAGCATATTAAAAAGCAGAGACATTACTTTGTCAACAAAGTTCCGTCTAGTCAAGGCTATGGTTTTTCCAGTGGTCATGTATGGATATGAGAGTTGGACTGTGAAGAAAGTTGAGCACCAAAGAATTGATGCTTTTGAACTGTGGTGTAGGAGAAGACTCTTGAGAGTCCCCTTGGACTGCAAGGAGATCCAACCAGTCCATCCTAAAGGAGATCAGTCCTGGGTGTTCATTGGAAGGACTGATGCTAAAGCTGAAACTCCATTATTTTGGCCACCTGATGCGAAGAGCTGTCTCAATTGAAAAGACCCTGATGTTGGGAAAGATTGAGGGCAGGAGGAGAAGGGGACGACAGAGGATGAGATGGTTAGATGGCATCACTGACTCAGTGGACATGAGTTTGGGTAAACTCTGGGAGTTGGTGATGGACAGGGAGGCCTGGCGTGCTGCAGTTCATGGGGTCACAAAGAGTTGGAAACAACTAAATGACTGAACTGATCATAATTAAAATACATCAGAATAACACAAGCCTCATTTTTAAAACTTGAGCCATCATTCTTTACTTTACCTTTGTTTTGATCCCTGAAAACTAAGATTGTGACCTCAGCTCCATGCCCTCTTTTTAAGTCTCTGTCAGAATCCCTTGGCCTTACCTGTAGAAATGATAAGAA